ACACCCTCAAGTTCTATTACTTCTTCAATCGCTTTGCTTCTCTCATGAAAACGATAACTTAAAGAAGATAATGCTACGGTTAGTAGAAAAAAATCAAGACGCTACGCTCAAGGATATCGCCATGGAACTCGAGACTCATCTTAACCTGTAACTGAATATGAGGGCTTTAGAGAATCCAACTAACCTCTCAGTAGCTATATTCAACGTTATGTATATCAAGGGTAGAAACAAAACATCCTGGAGAAATCGATAAGAGACAATCTCACGCCACTGGCAGAAACCGGGGGTCCTCCGTCTGGTGTTCCTAGATGCAATGATTGTGATAGTACCCATGTTCGTTCGAAATGCACTTTCCGCGACACGATCTGTCGTAAATGTGTCAAAAAGGACCACCTAGCTAAAGTCTATCGCTCTAATGCAAAAGCTGATAATGACTACCCCGTGAGACGCCCAGCCGATATTCCATAATATTCCATATTTCCAATATGACAGGGAGTCCAATGTCATAACTATTGGTAGCACATATTTACGTTTAGGCTCTTCGATTCTCGATACGAGCGAGAAAATAAAGCATGTCGGTGGAAACACTCTTAAAACGATCGATAAATTCAAGTGCACGCTGCAAGTCGGAGACCGTATAATCTTTATAAACGTTGTTTCACGCAACGGTTTCGATCTATTAGGCTTAAATGCCATCGACAAACTTAATGTATGGTCCATGCTATTCGAAAGGTGTCACGATCTGGACTATGGATCAAATATTCAGTGCGCTATGATCAAACGTCATGAGCTTGATGGACATTCTTCCGCATCAAACGCGTCTTTTAGCCATATTATTGAAGATTTTCCGAAATTATTTTCTCCCGGCCTTGGGCTGTGTCAAAATTTTCAAGCTAAACTCATTTTTTCTGAGAACGTTCAGCTTATGCAAACATCATGTCGACTGATTCTCTATAGCATGGAAAAGCCACTCGAAGATGAACTTCAATTAGAATCTTTGAACATCATCGAACGAACACACCTATCGGATTGGAGTACTCCAATAGTCATAGTCAAACGACATGATAGCCGAATTCGTCTTTGTGCAGATTATTCTACGGGAGTAAATAACTCTCTGAGGAGCAATCCATATTCTTTACCTGATGTCGATAACATCATGCCAAAACTCAATGATAATAGATATTTCAATGTCTTAGATCTCAGTAATACTTTCATGCAAATAGAAATCGCAGATCACCGTGACATCACTACGATTATCATTATTAAAGGCCTCTTCAGATTCAAATGTTTGCTCTTTGGAATTAAAACAGCGTCTGCTATATTTCAGCAAACCATGGACACTTTCTCAGGACTAGAAGGAGTCTACCTTGATTTACCTTGACGATGTGATAGTAACTAGCTCTACGCGCCAAGAATACGACTCACGTTTTATACTACCGGAAATTAAGTACCTCGGGTTGATTGTTAACAGTAAAAGTATTGCCGCAGACCTAGAAAACACTCGCGAGATACTGAACACACCTACGTGTATTTCCGAGGTTCAGTCATTACTTGGTTTAATCAACCACTACGGCATATTCATACCACATCTGCACCAGATTAAACAACCTTTAGAGGACTTCACGAGGAAAAATCGCTTTTAGTCCTGAGGACTACAACATGGCTTACATCGCATCAAAGAAGTCATGCTTAGTTCACTCCTCCTAGAGCACTTCGATCCCTCGAAAACACTTATAGTTGCGGCAGACGTCTGCCCTACAGGTACAGGCGGCGTATTTTTACGAGATGCAAACGGACATAACCATGCCGTTTACCACGTTTTTCAAAGTCTCACGAATTCACAACGCAACAACTTTCAACTCGAAAAGGAAGCTCTGACATTAATCACAGCTGTCAAATGTTTCCACAAATTTTTCTGGGGAAGAAAATTTAACTTATATATCGATCATAAACCGCTTGTCGCATTGTTACAGATTGGTAATACGAAGAGCCTCAAGCCGATAACAGCAGCTCAGCTCGAATGTTAAGCCATTCGACTAATTGACTACGATTTCCAAATAGAATATATAAGGACGCAAGATTTTGGCCAAGCTAACACTTTATCTCGCTTGGTGGAAAAATTTCGCAGGGATAATCTCAACAAACTTCAAGTAGCCAGTATTCGTGCAGTAGAAGATGAAGTTTGCCAAATAAAAAACTACTCAATTGATTACCTCGGCAAGGATCTCAGTCTGAAACTACAGTCGGCTACGAATGCTGACCCAGAACTACGAATTGTTCTACAAGCCGTCAAGAATAAATGGTCTTCGCTTCTCGGCTCAGCAATTGTGAAAACTTGTAACAAGGCGCAGATGCACCTCGTTACTACCGGCCCGACCGACCACCTGTCGGGCCGAAGAACGGCGCTTTGCGCCACCCTAAAAACTCGAAGACGATCGCGCCGCCGTTATCACCGAGCCGCCGCTATCGCGCGCCGCGGCGATCACGCGCTGCCGCTAGCGCGCGCGGCCGCGATTACGCGCCGTCACCGTGCCTCGCGCCGATAGGCGCGCCGCTCGATCGCCGCCGTATCAATCGTAGCGCGAACAACTATAAAACGGCGGCGATCGAGCTCCTAGTCACCAGACCGATCCGTACCGCCGTTCTAGCTAGACGCTCTATGCCGACAGCAAGAAGATCCGGACCGTTTCGCTCTGCCTTCCACTTTCCGACTACCCGACCGGCGACTAAGAACACGGGATTGTGCGTCCGCAGTCTCGATCGAGCGTTCTCGATACTTGGCCGTCTCCCGTCTTCCTGGGCTCGTGTGTACGCGTGCTCAGTCGAGCGTACTCGACAGTCTATCACCGTTACCCGCCGCCTTGAGCCAGGGGTTCGCCCGTCGGCGAACTCCGCTGAGCGTACTCAGCCTTTAGGCGATCCGTCTAGCGACCAAGAACCCGGGACGGTGTGTCCGCCGTCTCCGCTGAGTGTCCGCAGCACTTGGTCGCTTTCCTCCACAAACGTAGGGAAAAGGGAAGGTGCGTACGCCTTCTCTGTCGAGAGTCCTCGGCCCCGACGGACGAAATCATCTCGCATCTCCCGCGACTCGCGTGCGTGCGTTCGACCGAGAATCGAAATCTCCGGTCCGGCGACCATTTTTACGCGAGCAATTCCGAAGCGAGTATTGGACGATAATTGTCCGAGACGCCCAGCGTCGCGAAGCGAGACCGATCACCGCGCCGTTACCGTCGTTACGGTCTACACGCGTCGCGCAATAGGCTCCGCCTTCCGCACGGCCTATCCGTTCGTACGAGCGCTTGCACCGCTCACCGCACCGCACCGTACCGTACCGACGCGCCTTATAAACGCAACCCGCGACATCGCCTTCGGGGCCGAACTCTTGTACCGAATTAAGTATAGAATAAAGCTAACGTACTTATATTATTCTCAAACGTCTCGCTGCTTTCCTCCTCACCGAACCCGGACTCCGACAAGCCTTATCCGCGCGAAACGCGTAGCAGCGACCGAACCGCGGAGTTCGGCCGTTACATTTGGCGTCCGAACAAAGGACCTTAGGAGGAGAAAAGCGGCAAGAGGGATTACAGGCCCGAGCGCGATGGCATGGGTGCATAAATTGTCAAAACAGGAGCTGACCGAGCAGTTGTCCCGTCACGACTTGCACACGGACGGGACATTCGAAGAATTGCGAAGGCGGCTCGGTCAGTTCGTGCGACGACATCCGGAAGTGTTCAAGGAGGACAACGGGACAGCGACCCCCGCAGCAAAGGTCGAGGAAGGGACAGTGGAAGTTCGCGACGAGACACCCGAACTGTCCATAATCCCCGAGGGGTCCGGGCCCCCGATAGCCAAGGCGATGAATCAAATTAGAAAATGGGGTTGTTTCTTCGACGGACGGAGTCCTCAGGAATTTTTAGAACGGGTCGAGGAACTCAGCGACGTCTATGGCTATACGGGGGAACACGTCCTTCGGGGGTTGCCGGAAATGCTGCGGGGCGAGGCCCTCGCGTGGTACCGTCTCAGCCGCCACACATGGGCAACGTGGGAGGATTTCCGAAGGGACTTCCATGCGGAATACCTCCCGCGCAAGATGCTAGCGCAACTCCGCCGCGAAGCACGGGGCCGCGTACAAGATGGAGAATCCTTCCGGGCGTTCTCTAATGACGTGTTAACGCTCATGCGGCGAGCGGGGGGATGGAATCCCGAGGAGCAGCTCGAGTTGCTATATGAAAATATGCACCCAGAATACAAGAGGGGCATTCGCATCGACGACGTTCGACGAGCATCGGGGACCTCCGTGCGCGGGCCGCAGAGCATGAAGACATCGAGCGGCAGATACGCGACCGCCGGCGAGATCCTGCAGTGATCGACCTCCTCGACCACCGCGCGTCGCGCCGACCACCGCCAGCACATACAGCAAGGACGAGTGCTGCTGGCGGTGCAAACAAAGGGGGCACACTCGGGTAGACTGTAAGCGCCCCCCGAAGAAATTCTGCTCGCAATGCGGAAAGGAGGGCGTGTTGACCCGGGAGTGCCACCCGCGGCCGGGAAACGACCGACGGGCCGAGACCTGCCACCCAGAGTCTCGGCCCTGAGGAATCAACGCATCCGATTCACACCTCGGCCCCATATAACCGTACGACTGAACGGACGTGACGTCAACGCGCTCCTCGACTCCGGGTCGGAGGCGTCGGTTATACGCCCCGACATTGCCCAGCAAGTAGGAGCCCCGATCCGGAAGTCGAGGCGATCCGAAGCGATACGACTAGCTGACGGAACACTCGTACAGACGACCGGAACCATGACGACAGACGTACAAACGGAGGACAGAAACGTGAGACACGGCCTGCGAGTCCTGCCAAAGCTCGGCAGCTCCATGCATTGGAGTGGACTTGTGGGCCAAGCTACAGGTGACCCTGCCACCGCCACCGACGCGCGCGACACGGACCGAACCGTCGATCTGTACGATCGAGGACGGACTAACGCCACGAACCCCGGACGAGACCACGCGACTGGAACAGTTCCTGAAACGGGAATTCCGCCTCTTCGACAAGGTGCAGGGACCGACGGACCGGGCGTACCACGACATTCGACTGACCGACCCACGCCCCATTAAGCAGCGGTATCGGCCCCGGAACCCCGCTATGCAGCGAGTAATCGACGAGGAGGTCGAGAAGATGCTGCAGGAGTGCATAATCGAGCCCTCTCACAGCGCGTGGAGCTCGCCGGTGGTGGTGGTGCGGAAAAAGGATGGGTCGCGAAGATTTTGTGTAGATTTCCGCAAATTAAATAGCGTCTCGGAACCTGATGCCTACCCGTTGCCGCAGGTCGCCGCTACCCTCGACAAACTCCGAGGGGCAAAATATCTGTCTACGCTGGACCTGCGGAGCGGGTATTGGCAGGTTCCCGTGTCGGCCGCGAGCCGCCCCTTGACTGCGTTTGCCGTGCCGGGACGAGGATTGATGCAGTTTCGAGTAATGCCCTTCGGTCTGCACTCCGCACCCGCCACGTTCCAACGGCTGCTGGATGGCATACTCGGCCCTGAGCTCGAGCCCCACGTACTCGTCTACCTAGACGATATCATTATCGTGAGCCGGACCTTCGAGGAACATATCACGCGGCTCGGGGAGGTCTTCCGGCGGCTCCGGGAAGCACGACTGCGCCTCAATACGGAGAAGTGCCGTTTCTGTGTGGGCCGCCTGCGGTACCTGGGGCATATCGTGGACCGAGAGGGTATCCGTACCGACCCAGAAAAAGTGAGCGCGATATCGGAATGGCCGGTGCCCACGACCGTACGAAAGGTTCGGCAGTTCCTCGGGCTCGCGTCGTGGTACAGGCGGTTCATCCCCGGTTTCTCCGCGCTAGCCGCCCCGCTCACGCGACTCATCCGGAAAAATGTGAAGTGGAGGTGGGGCGCGGACGAGGACGCCGCGATGACCGCACTGAAGAAGCGGCTGACCACGGCACCGGTACTCGCGTGCCCCGATTTTCGGGAGCCCTTCCAGCTGCAGACGGACGCAAGCACGGAGGGGCTGGGAGCCGTTCTCACGCAGCGGCTGGAGGGGGCCGAACGCGTGATCGCGTACGCGAGCCGAACCTTAAATCGCGCCGAGAAAAATTACAGCGCGACCGAATTGGAGTGCCTCGCCGTAATCTGGGGAATAAGGCGAATGCGCGACTAACTGGAGGGCTATCGCTTCACGGTGATCACAGATCACCAGGCCCTCCGGTGGCTGCGCAGCCTGGAGACACCCATCGGGCGACTGGCCCGCTGGGCCCTCGAACTACAGCAGTACGAGTTCGAGGTGCAATACCGGCGAGGCGCTCTCAACACGGTCGCCGACGCGTTGTCTCGACGACCCGAGGTAAGCGCCATCATCTCGGAAAACGGTTGCCCTTGGTACCGCCATATGAGGGCGCGGGTAGCCGCAGATCCCGCCGCCTGGCCGGACTACGCCATCCAGCAAGGCCAGCTCCTCCGCCACATCCTGCACGAGCTGGATTTCCGCGAAACACCGGCGGAGGAGCAGTGGAAGGTATGCGTGCCTCGAGAGCAACGCGCCGAAATCCTTCACCAGCTCCACGACGAACCCACCGCCGGCCACTTGGGGATAGCGAAGACGATCGCCCGCGCGGCCCGCCGGTATTATTGGCCCGGAATGTTCCGGGACGTAGCCCGACATGTCCGGGCCTGCGAGACCTGCCTCGCCTATAAGTCGACACAGGTCAAACCCGCGGGCCTTCTGCACGCCACCGCGGTCAAGGGCCCGTGGGAGCAGGCCACCATAGACCTGATGGGCCCTCTGCCGCGGTCGACCGGCGGCCACGCGTGGGTCATCGCTATGCAGGATCGCTTCTCCAAGTGGCTAGAGATGCGACCGCTCCGAAGAGCGACAACGGGGGCAGTGGAGCAGGCGATCACCGAGGGCATCATGCACCGACACGGCTGCCCCCAAACAATAGTGTCCGATAACGGGAAGCAATTCCGTTCCAAGCAATTCACAAGATTCTGCGGGGCTCACGGCATCCGTCACCGCACCACCCCCATCTACGCACCGCATTGTAATCCGGTGGAGCGGACAAACCGTGTAATTAAGACCATGATCGCTCAGTTTGTGGGGAAAAACCACCGCAAGTGGGACAACCACCTCTCCGCGCTGCAGTTCGCATACAACTCGACCGTCCAGGACTCAACGGGATACAGCCCGGCCTTCCTGCTCAGCGGGCGGGAGTTGAGTTCCTGGCCGGAGACCCGTACCGCCGCTCCACTGGAAAGTCGCCGCCGACAGCTCGAGGACGCTTACGAGGTCGTCCGTGTAAATTTGGCGCGAGCTTTTCAACGCCAGGAGCGCTACTATAATTTGCGACGGCGCTCCTGGCGGCCTACGATAGGGGAGACAGTATGGCGACGCGAGCATCCCCTATCGGATAAAGCGCGAGGCTTTAACGCCAAGCTCGCGCCAAAATACTCCGGGCCGTACGAAATCCGGAAGATAATCTCCCCGGTAATCGTCGATCTCCGCGCTAGATACGGCAAGTGGCTACGAAATATACATATACAAGATTTGAAGTCAGGCAACAATAACGAAAAGCCACAGGACGCGGAAGTCGACAACCCGGAAGGGGAAACCGAAACAACGGCCCGGGGTATAAAACGACGGCCTCGAGCAGCGAAGCACAGATCTTCTCGAGCTGTCGCCACACGATAAGCCGAGAAATTTTGGCCAGCTTAAGAAAAGCATAAGCTTTCGAATGAGCGAGCCCCGAGGGATTGAGATCGAAGATCTCACCGTCCTGTGTACGGATCTCGCCCTCTCCGACGACGAGGAGAGGGCCCCGGCTGCCCCGCCGCCGTCGACGTCGCCACCACCAGCGACGCCACCGCCGACGTCGCCACCACCAGCGACGCCACCGCCGACGTCACCACCAACGTCACCGCCGACGTCACTGCCGACGTCACCGCCGCTACCACCAGCGAGCACACCGCCGCCGTCGCCGAGGCCACCGAACCCCCAAGTTCCGGCAAGGGGGACCCGGATACAACGGTCCGACACAGCGCAGCGCCGTAAGGCAATTATGCTTACGGCTCCGCTGCCCCCACCACCCGGACGCCGAGGACGCCAGCCCAAGTCGCTGGCAGCAGCAACAACGACAAGGGCTACCACCCGCCCCACACGGCTGCCGACGACTCCGCCGCCGCAACGACCGCCGCCGCCGCAACGACCGCCGCCGCAACAACCGCCACCGCCGCCGCAACGACCGCCGCCGCAGCAACGGCCACCGCCACAACGGCCACCACCGCCACAACGGCCGCCACCACCGCCGCAACGGACGCCGCCGCCGCCACGAGTAGCAGGGACGCCTCTCCTCCCGACGACGCGACCACCCTCGGGTCCGACCCCCGTCCGACCGCCGAAGTTACTCCGACCGGTCGGCCCGAGGCCACCGCCGCCGGTCCTCGTCGAAGTGGAGCCCGGCGTCCACAAGCTCGTTCCCCATGTGGCCGTCCATGTTAGCCGTCGATACCGCCTCCGAACACCCGAGGGACGCTGGATGTTGCGATTTCACGCGGACGGCCAGCTCCGGTCCAGCCGCCGCCTACCGGACGACCCCTCTGCTAGGGGGTGATGTAACGAGGCGCAGATGCACCTCGTTACTACCGGCCCGACCGACCACCTGTCGGACCGAAGAACGGCGCTTTGCGCCACCCTAAAAACTCGAAGACGATCGCGCCGCCGTTATCACGAGCCGCCGCTATCGCGCGCCGCAGCGATCACGCGCTGCCGCTAGCGCGCGCGGCCGCGATCACGCGCCGTCACCGTGCCTCGCGCCGATAGGCGCGCCGCTCGATCGCCGCCGTACCAATCGTAGCGCGAACAACTATAAAACGGCGGCGATCGAGCTCCTAGTCACCAGACCGATCCGTACCGCCGTTCTAGCTAGACGCTCTATGCCGACAGCAAGAAGATCCGGACCGTTTCGCTCTGCCTTCCGCTTTCCGACTACCCGACCGGCGACTAAGAACACGGGATTGTGCGTCCGCAGTCTCGAACGAGCGTTCTCGATACTTGGCCGTCTCCCGTCTTCCTGGGCTCGTGTGTACGCGTGCTCAGTCGAGCGTACTCGACAGTCTATCACCGTTACCCGCCGCCTTGAGCCAGGGGTTCGCCCGTCGGCGAACTCCGCTGAGCGTACTCAGCCTTTAGGCGATCCGTCTAGCGACCAAGAACCCGGGACGATGTGTCCGCCGTCTCCGCTGAGTGTCCGCAGCACTTGGTCGCTTTCCTCCACGAACGTAGGGAAAAGGGAAGGTGCGTACGCCTTCTCTGTCGAGAGTCCTCGGCCCCGACGGACGAAATCATCTCGCATCTCCCGCGACTCGCGTGCGTGCGTTCGACCGAGAATCGAAATCTCCGGTCCGGCGACCATTTTTACGCGAGCAATTCCGAAGCGAGTATTGGACGATAATTGTCCGAGACGCCCAGCGTCGCGAAGCGAGACCGATCACCGCGCCGTTACCGTCGTTACGGTCTACACGCGTCGCGCAATAGGCCCCGCCTTCCGCACGGCCTATCCGTTCGTACGAGCGCTTGCACCGCTCACCGCACCACACCGTACCGTACCGACGCGCCTTATAAACGCAACCTGCGACATCGCCTTCGGGGCCGAACTCTTGTACCGAATTAAGTATAGAATAAAGCTAACGTACTTATATTATTCTCAAACGTCTCGCTGCTTTCCTCCTCACCGAACCCGGACTCCGACGAGCCTTATCCGCGCGAAACGCGTAGCAGCGACCGAACCGCGGAGTTCGGCCGTTACAAACTATAGAAACTACTGTGAAAATCCCCTTATTGTAGATGATACATTTTTGATTGGTGACAGAGTGTTTATCCCATTTACCATGCAGTCTCAGATTTTAACATTTCCCCACAAGGATTATCCAGGAATCCGGAGAATGAGGCAACTCACTCGAGAATATGTATACTGGCCGAATATATCCTCCGAAAATTACCAGTCACGGTTCCTATCAACCCTTGGCCCGCCCTGTCTAAATCATTAGAATGTCTACATTTAGATTATGCAGGACCAATCGACAGATAATACCTCCTGATATTTGTAGACACCTTCTAAATGTATCAACGTAGCGCAGACATCCATCATCTCCGCTACTCGCACAGTTGAACTATACCGTAAAATATTTTCCAGATACCCCACTGAAGTTTATGTGAGCGACCATAGTACACAATTCACTGCAACCATGTTTGCTAACTTTTGCAGGGAAATGCACATCTCGCATCCATTCTCCGCAGTGGATCATCCCCAATTTAACGGCCAAGCAGAACGTATGGTGGTCAAAAAAGCTATCGCTAAGAACTCACTAGATTGTGAAATGTGAAATGGAACTACAAGATTTCTTATATAATTATCGCTACACATATTCAGCTTCAACTCCTGATGGGAAATCTGCAGCCGATTATTCTTAGGAAAACGTATCAGCTCACCGTTCTCCAAATTATTTCCAACAGTATCGAAACTTACTTCCGCCTCATCACCGCTTCTCAACGAAAAGCAACTCGACATGCAGAAGTAATTCGCACAACACCATGGAATCCAACTTAGAAGCCTACACCGAGGAGATCGTGTAATCGTAGCGTTCCATAATAAACGTGAACAACGCTACATCATCAATGTCTTGTCTCGATTACGATACAATTGGATAATAGTAATCATCGTGCGCCATATCAATGACATTTGAAGGAGAGGAGGTACACCCAAAACTCCGTATAACGGCATTTCGGACGATTAGATATTTTTTGAACCTAAAGATTCAACATCAATTCTGATAACCAATGAACAACAGATGGAAACTTTTTTGTCCTCTGATATTTGCAGAAACTTTCCAGAAGTTGTTACTATCGCTCAGACCTCGCCAAGACCCTTGCGTCACAGGACTCAGCCTCGAAGACTAATAATGGACCCCAAGACTAAATCTTATACCTAGCAAACATTTTCTTAAAGAGGGAGATGTTGGGGACGCATAAGACGCGTTATGGAATGCGTATCTATGCAGTGGTCGAATGGTGGGGAGACATCAGTCCACCCATAAACAAGCAACCGTGTCGAGCATACGGCGTCGATATCAGTTATAGATACATAAAGGGATCTCAAAAAGTCTTCGAACGATAAAATATCTCGAAAACAATTGGTTTTTGGAAACAATGTTTCAGAAAAAAGTTGTAAGGTTTAAAATGATCTATTTACTGATCTTATTAGTTTGACCTTGGCTAGCGTCAACAAGGTCAGGGCAAAGTCACCTAGAACTTTTCAAATGGAAAGCCCTACCTTTTTTGGCATATTCTTATAACGTATTTCAAAAGCTTGTAACGAGGCGCAGATGCACCTCGTTACTACGGGCCCGACCGACCACCTGTCGGGCCGAAGAACGGCGCCGAGCGCCACCCTAAAAATACCGAAACGATCGCGCTGCCGCTATCGCGCGCCGCGGCGATCACACGCTGCCGCTAGCGCGCGCGGCCGCGATCACGCGCCGTCACCGTCCCTCGCGCCGATAGGCGCGCCGCTCGATCGCCGCCGTATCAATCCTAGCGCGAATTATAAAACGGCGGCGATCGAGCTTCTAGTCACCCAGACTGATCCGTACCGCCGTTCGATCCAGACGCTCTATGCTGAAGGAAAGAAGATCCGGACCGTTTCGCTCTGCCTTCCGCTTTCCGACTACCCGACCGGCGACTAAGAACACGGGATTGTGCGTCCGCAGTCTCGATCGAGCGTTCTCGATACTTGGCCGTCTCCCTGGGCTCGTGTGTACGCGTGCTCAGTCGAGCGTACTCGACAGTTTATCACCGTTACCCGCCGCCTTGAGCCAGGGGTTCGTCCGTCGGCGAACTCCGCTGAGCGTACTCAGCCTTTAGGCGATCCGTCTAGCGACCAAGAACCCGGGACGGTGTGTCCGCCGTCTCCGCTGAGTGTCCGCAGCACTTGGTCGCTTTCCTCCGCGAACGTAGGGAAAAGGGAAGGTGCGTACGCCTCCTCTGTCGAGAGTCCTCGGCCCCGACGGACGAAATCATTTCGCGTATCCCGCGACTCGCGTGCGTGCGTTCGACCGAGAATCGAAATCTCCGGTCCGGCGACCATTTATACGCGAGCGATTTCGAAGCAAGTATTGGGCGATAATTGTTCGAGACGCCCAGCGTCGCGCAGCGTGACCGATCACCGCATCGTTACCGTCGTTACCGTCTACACGCGTCGCGTAATAGGTCGCGCCTTCCGCACGGCCTATCCGTCTATACGAGCGCTTGTACCGCTCACCGCACCGCACCGTACCGTACCGACGCGCCTTATAGACGAAACCCGCGACACCGCCTTCGGGGCCGAACTCTTGTATCTCAATAAGCATACAATAAAACTAAGTTATTTTAATTGCCGTTATCAAGTGTCCCGCTGCTTTATTCCTCCTCGAATCCAGACTCCGACGAGCCTTATCCGCGCGAAACGCGTAGCAGCGACCGAACCGCGGAGTTCGGCCGTTACAAGCTTTCCAAAACACTACAACAAAGTATTCTTTTGTTAAGTACATCCCGAGTTATGAAGCTTCAAAGTTACAGTACCGTCGGCATTAGCATTACCCAAGGTGTACCGCGTGGAGGTTGCACGATCGGATTTACGCATTTTGTGTGTATGTGTGTGTGTGTGTGCGTGTGTGTGTGTGCGCGCGCGCGCGTGGGTGCGTGTGTACGTGTGTGTCAGCGTGTTATGTAACAGAAATAAGGACCCCACGGTTCATCACTCCCGTAGTATTCATGACTCCAAACCCTTTCTGTTGTGTAAAGTGACTTTATCTCATCTTTTAAGATGTGCAACATTTTTAATTAATTAAATGTTCAAATTGTCTTCCTTCTACCATTTGACAATGAGGTTTGGAGTCATGAAATACTACGGGAGTGATGAACCGTGGGGTTCTTGTTTCTGTTACATAATACGCAGACGCACACACACGCACGTACGCACGCACGCACGCACGCACGCACGCACGCACACACACAAGAAATGTAAATCCGATCGTGCAACCTCCACGCGGTACACCTTAGGTAATGCTAATGCCGACGATACTGCAACTTTGAAGCTTCATAACTCGGGATGTACTTAACAAAAAAATACTTTGTTGTAGTATTCTAGAAAGCTCTTGAAATACGTTATAAGAATATGCCAAAAAAGTAGGGCATTCCATTAGAAAAGTTCAAGGTGACTTTGCCTGACCTTGTTGACGCTAGCCAAGGTCAAACTGATAAGATCAGTAAATAGATCATTTTAAACCTTACAACTTTTGCCTGAAACATTTTTTCCAAAAATAGATTGTTTTCGAGATATTTTATCGTTCGAAGACTTTTTGAGAACCCTGTATACAAGGTATCCCATTTTAAGTGTCCACCCCAAATATCTCTTATTTTTTATTTTAGAGAAAAATGGTTCAGACATGTTTTGTATGGTTTCGAGGGGGTCATAAGATGGTACCATTCATTTGACCTTGAAGAGTCATTTGAAGGTCACGCGACTGTTAAATCAATTTTTTTAGATGGCACCCTCTATTTTTTATTACATATTCTTGTAGCTGACCTCAAGAGCTTCCCAAAACACTATAATCAAATGTTTTTTGGTGAAGTACTTTTCGAGTTACGAAGCTCCAAATTTACAAAATTTTGATAAAAATACAAAATATTTCGTAAAACATTCACTTTCCGATAGTTTTATCTTACATGATCCAACCAGTCAAGGCAAGATCCGAGCATGATCCAGCCAGTCAAGATGAAATCCCGTATTGCCTGATAATCAATGAACTGTAATAATTGTGAAAGTGCAATTGTCAATTCTTTTAATGAAACAAATATCAAGAGGCTTGTTTCCAATTTCTTACTTGGGCAACTGTCGGTATTTTGGCGAAGTCTCAGACAGACGCATATTATTATCCATTGACTTTTTTTTATAGGACAGGAATTTTTAGTTTTTTGGCGCTTTTTTTCTTTATAATTATGGCTGCTTATCCACCAAATGAAATTGTGGATATGATTCGCATTTTGGGTGAGGCCAGGAATAATTACTCGGCAGCAGAAAGGCTTTATGCTGAAATATTTCCAGACAGACGCCATCCTGATAGGAAAGTAATAAAAAGACTCTGCGACAGAGCTGAACAGGGTATTCTTAGAAGAAACCGGCGAAAATCGTGCTCTGATGAAGTCACATCATTGACTGTTATAGGTGCCGTTGTTTTGAATCCTCAAATCTCTACGAGACAAATTGAGAGGCAATATGGTATATTTAAATCAACAGCCAATCGTGTGCTCAAGCTGAACAAGTTTTACCCATATCACATTCATCTAACTCAGCAATTGGAAGAGAGGGACTACCAACGCCGTGTACGTTTTGGTAACTGGGCTCGAGATCAAATCCAACAAAATCCCCGGTTCATTGCTGATATGCTTTTTTCTGATGAAGCCACGTTTTGTAATAGAGGAGGCGTTAATAGACATAACTGCCATTATTATTCAGATGCTAATCCACATTGGCAAAGAACCCAAGAGTTACAACGGCAGTGGTTCATTAACGTTTGGGCAGGCATCCTGAGAGATGTTATTGTTGGTCCATATTTTTTTGAAGAAAATCTCAATGCAGCAATCTATCTAAGATTTCTTCAAGATGACCTGCCCAACCTCTTGAGACATGTCGACTATGATTTACTCAAACAAATATGGTTCCAACAAGATGGAGCACCGGCTCATAGATCTCGAACTGTTACACAATATTTAAACAATAGATTCCCGAATAGGTGGATTGGTATGGGCAGCCGAGTTCAAGAATGGCCGCAAGATCACCCGACTTGACACCACTAGATTTTTATTTTTGGGGCTACATTAGAGATATAGTTTATTCGCAAAAGCCTACAACTGTTGAAAATATGAAAAACAGGATCAGACAGGCTTGCAGAAATATTAATGTAGGTGTTCCTGAAAAAGTTAGGAACGACTTTCACCATGGACTAGAGCTATGCATACAAGTAAATGGCAAAGTTTTTGAACACTTTAAGTAATTGTACACAAAAGATCTTGTCTTGACTGATTGGATCATGCTCGGATCTTGCCTTGACTGGTTGAATCATGCTTGGATCTTGCCTTGACTGGCTGGATCATGCTCGAATCTTGCCTTGACTGGCTAGATCATGCTCGGATCTTGCCATGACTGGCTGGATCATGCTCGGATCTTGCCTTGACTGGCTGGATCATGCACGGATCTTGCCTTGACTGGCTGGATCATGCTCGGATCTTGCCTTGACTGGTTGGATCATGTAAGGTAAGACTATCGGAAAGTGAATGTTTTACGAAATATTTTGTATTTTTATCAAAATTTTGTAAATTTGGATAAAACTTTATAACTCAAAAAGTACTTCACCAAAAAACATTTGATTATAGTGTTTTGGGTAGCTCTCGAGGTCAGCTACAAGAATATGTAATAAAAAATAGGGGATGCCATCTAAAAAAATTGAAGTCACCCTTCAGGTGACCTTCAAATGACTCTTCAAGGTCAAATCAATGGTACCATCTTATGGC